AATTCATTTTAAGCTTTATCTGTGAAAGATACATGTAATGATGCCTTACATTTGAGATGAAATGGTTTATCTTATAAAGTCAGCATATGGTTCTTTCTTTCTTTTTTTTGCTTTCAATATATATATTTTTTTTATAAAATTCTCTGTGATAATCTGGTCTATAGATGTCACTTAAGTTTCTCCTTCGGGGTGTGTGTGTGTGTGTTTGTGTGTGCGTTCTCCCCACATATTGTATCTTTAAAAATCCTTCTTATTTGATTGCTTACAAGTGGAAATTGCACATCTCAACCAGCCACATAATTTGTGATATTTATAAAGTCAGCATATGGTTCTTTCTTTCTTTTTTTTTGCTTTCAATATATATATATTTTTTTATAAAATCACCTCATTTCATTTCATTCATTCGTTTCATTTTACTCCTTCTTTAACACTTTATGTGACTCTATGTGTTACCTGATGGAGGGGGTAGAAAGTGGCTCTGGCACATTTACAAAACAATGTCTTTAGTCCAAATCAGAAAAAAGTGACAGCAAATAACTTAATTCTGCAAATAAGGAAGCCGTCCAGCTTTTAAGTGACTCCAGATTTTGAATCTGTAACTAAAGGCACAGATAGTTCTCAGGGTTGCTGTGCTTTGCCTTACAGGCATCAGGCCATAAATCAATCCCACCCTACTGCCTGTCCATCCTGCTAACACACGTCATGACCTGCTCCTCTGTACACCACACTTAACACTGCATTGCTTACAAGTGGAAATTGCACATCTCAACCAGCCACATAATTTGTGATATCACTCATGTCCATAATACAAACATTGAGGGATGAGTTACAAGCCTAAGTGTAATTAGAGATATGTTCTAATAACAAACCCTGACTGCCAACAATAGTACAAATTTTAAAAGTAACACCACAGATGAATGCAAAAATTACCTTCCTCTTTTTTTGCTTCACATTTCAAGTACATGCTCTCATGTCACACTTTCTTTAAAACAAACCTCAAGACATGGAGCTATGGCAATAAAAATCAGTTTTGTGGCAATAACAGATTTCACATTGCATTAGACATTCTCTCTAGAAAAGCCAGTCTGCGCAGGCGGCTAAAAATACATCTGTTCATATATCATTGATACGCTCATTAGAGAGGGGATGCAAGTCAGGATTTATTAGCCACGGTGGCGTAATGCGGCTTGACAGGGATGCGTCCCTGACACATTAACTCTGTCTAGTGTGTTGTGAATATACAGAAAGGCGTTTTGGTGTAGTGTGGATCTTTTAGTGATGTAGATGTTATATTTCATATTTCAGCCAGTTGTAATTGCTTGAATGTTGCACTGAAACTTTGTATTACTACCACGTCTCAGTTAATTGCTTGTTATATTCCTTAGTCGCAAGTTGCACTGGACAAAATGAATGAATACATGTAAATGTAGAAATATTTAAATTAAATGCTGTTATTTTAAACTTTCTCTTCATCAAAAATCATGAAAAAAAAATGTTGTTTTCCACAAATATTCCATAGAAATAGCACATTGAGCACCAAATCATCATATCAGAATGATTTCTGAAGGACAATGTGACCTGAAGACTGGAGTAACGTCTGCAAAAAAAAATTCAGCTTTGCTGCCATCACAGAATAATTTACATTTTAAAATCTGATAAAATAGACAACAGTTATTTCAAGCTGTATTATATCAAAATATTACACTTTTTGTATGTGTACATACTGTATATATGGTCAAAATTGTGAAAGAAAATTCTCTATGACCTTAAAAAAATAATTTTACGTACACATTTCCATACATGGAATGATTTCTTCTATTTAGATATCTAAAACGTTTTTCTCCTTTCAGAAATGCATCATTACCACTGCACATTGACCATATCACAACTAACAAAAATAGCCAAGGATTAATGAACTAACCACAGACCTGTATTATGATGTGTTTTAAAGAAATTTTGTCCCCAAAACCTCATGAACACTCAAATAATTCAGTTCAATTCAGGTTTATTAGCGCTTTTAACAATGCATGTTATTTCAAAGCAGCTTTACAGAAAACTTATGTTTCTTACAATATAAGGAGATGTTGATTAAAATATAAGGACATTTGGCATTTTTGTATTGCATTGTAGTAGTGACGGACATAAAAGTTGAATTTTAAGTTTTTGGTCTTAAATTTCATCAATATGTGTAATATTCATTGTATTGTGACCAAATATGATAATAAAGCGATTATAGATGGTATATATTTTATAGAAAACAATCACACTCTTTCAGTCAGATGTATTAAATTAAAAAGAAATAATTTTGTTTATAAATAATTTTGACAAATTAATTGATCTTAATTTGTGCACATTAAATCCTTGTGTGGGAAAATGGGGAAAAAACTCTATTTATGCATTTATTTTATTTATTTATTTTCTGCACTGCTTACAGAATCACCCATATGTTTTTTTTTTGTCCCCAGATCTCAGCACCACAATCAGCACAGGTCTGCCGCTGTGTGCTGTGGGACAGGCGAGAGAACACGTCTGGCAGTGCGTCTCCTCCCGTCACTGCTCGGTTTGTCCTGCCATCCACGTCCTCATCTGTCTCAGATCAGTCTGACCATTCTCCTGTTCGGCGTAATGTGGTTTCCCCGTCTGTACCTTCATTACTGCAGCCAGTGGCTCTTCCTGCAGGCTCAACACATCCCCATCAACAGGTGAGACATACGTGACCCTTCTCACAGAACAATCATTCGTAAACACACAGTGTCAAGCTCATCATTATTCCAAACACACAAATACATGCAGAAATATTCCAGGAGAGGATATGCTGACCTTTACAAATGTCTACTTACAATAATTCACTGGAAACACACACTCATATGCACAAATATGCATGCAGGTGATTCATGCGCTGTTGTCGTATGTCATGTGTGTGCATTTATATGCATGCAAGCAAACGCACACACATGCACAGTCTTTTACAAGACTTGTCTAAACTTTAACTACCTCATGAGGGGAAAGTCAGTTGATTTTAACATGCGGGGGTACGGGCCTTTTAGTGTGCATTATTTGGAAAGAATTTATCTTCTCTTATTGTGTGGACAGCATTTCATCATAAACCCTGTGTGATACCACAGCATGGTTCTATTTTGCATGTGGTGTTAATTTAATTTATCATCCAGGAGTCATTCAATTACGCACCAAGTTGTGTTGTTGCCAAACAAATCCCATCATTAAATCGCAGAAAACGACTGACAGAAGATAAGAGGAATGCAGAGAAGGACAGATGAGGGAGAAACAAGTGGAAAACACAAAGCTGGGGTCATAGGCTCATGACATGTTCCACATGTCTGTCCATTTGTCCGCTGCGAGCGTTTCTCTACAGGGCTGGTGACCACAGTAGCGGTCAGAGATCAGCTGCAAACTGACAGCACACACACACACACACTCGCACGCCCCGCAGTCATTAGCATCTCTCTCTCACTCTACCCCACGCACATTTCATTACCCCCAGCATTCTCACAAATACCACCCCCCTCCACTCCTACACACACAAACACACTCCAAAATCAGCACACAACCTCGCAGTGCCAAATGAGTCCCACCCGTCTACACAACAACATGTGTTCTGTGGATTTTATTGCACCACAAGCATGTGGAAAAACTCTTCATTACCAGCACAAGTCCTGTTGTAAACGTTGGAGTGAGTTGTGTTAGGTGGCTAGATCTGTTGACGTAATTAACAGCATCCTAAAACAGAAAGAAAAAGTGCGTATTGACAATGGATTGGAATACAATTAGAGATCTGATTCTGTCGCATACAGAATAAAAGTAAATCAAATGAAATTGAATCTTGAATGCATTGGAATCAAGCTGAATCTTGAGTCAAATCAAACTGAATCTCGGACTGAATAAAATGTAGCAAAACTGAGTCAAGTTGAATTGAGTTGAATTGAATCTAATTTAAATTTGACTATAAATCAAAAATATAATCTTAAAAATTAAACCTTAATAAAAAGAGATATAACATACAGTGAGTGTTGGAAAGTTTCACACGATTTAAATGCTTGAGAGAATGCTAGAAAATCCGGAGTACTGAACATGTGCAGCAGAAATGGGCCGAATAGGTGAAATGAAGAGTGCAAAAGATTCTCAGGTAACGGTAGAGAGGGATTAATGAGCAGAGAGATGATGGTAGATTAGGAAAGACATGAAAGTGTATGTAAAAAAAAAACAAAAACAAAAAAAACTACACATCAGCGTAAATTCTTAGACATTTCATTTTGCTGTATTTTGTGCAGATGTTCAGTGACAGTTCTAGGATTTCATCCATTGCGGGGCTTAGTCCTCGGTGAGAATGTGTAGCAAGATGATGCCATTGCCTCTTTGTAAATCAGCACCACTATTTTACTATAAAGTCAGAAGTAGCATACCACTAAAATTGCTACCAAGTCAATATAAACATTTTATAATGAGTCAGATACCAGTCTGCAGTAAAGTTCAAATTGGTACACATGTAGGCTACTGTTTGACTAACAGAAAAAAAAGGTCATCATAGTGTTGTTATTAACAAGTATTATTGTTAACTATCTAAAAAACTAAAATATTGACTCAGGACTCAACATTAAGGAGATTTTCTACTGGCCTGGTCAGGCCAGGAGATCAGATATTTTACTTGCCCTGCCAAAACATTCACTGGCCCTGCCTACATAAGTAAAGTTATTGCTTTCATTATTTTTTGACCCATGTAGCCTTACAATACCAACAGTTTGGATACCAGTGGAATTTCACAGTTCTCGACTCCAATTTACGTTAACAGCAAATACTAATACTAGCCTAGCTAATATTAAGTTCAAACATTGAAGACAAGTAAGCAAGCATCAGATAACAAATTACAAGCAATAGCACAAATAAATACAATACAATGCAACAAGTAAATTAAATAAATATGACTTGTACAGAGTGCCTGTGAAAACTGTATTACTGTATGAAGGAAATACACAGGTACCTATTAAAGTTACAGAAGTTGTTTAGTTAAGAGCAGTGAGTAATCCTCTCTTTTTCTTTTGTTATTTGATTAACATTATTAACATAGGAAACAGAAGGTATGCAGTATGTGGTTGTTGTCACTTTTAAGATCTAATGCACAGATTTGTTTTATATTGACACACATCCGATATTTTCACATGGATATTCATTAAGAACTTTTTGGTACTCGCATGCTGTCTGAGAGGTGGCTTTCTGTGCACACATACAGAAACAATTTATCACGGTGTGAGATTACAGCATTGAGATCTCTTTCATCCCATCTTGCTCTTGAATGGCTTAAATCACTTGAATGTTTAAACTGACAAGTCTTAAAAATTATCTTACATTGTGGGATACATCAACTTCTCATCATGTCTCTCTCTGGGCAGATTTGGGTTGGGTGCGCACACGGTGGATCTGGTCTATCAGGGTTCGCTGCTGTCTACCCTGGAGGAGGTTCTGCTGGTGCTGCTGGGCCCCCTGACCTTGAATGCAGCTACGTTACTGCTGCTCCTGATCAGATGGGGCTGTCAGCTAGCGTTTGGCTCACCGCCCTCCTTCCTGTCAAAGTTTATCATGGCTGCGGCGGTGTGGACAGTGCTGGACCCTCTGGCGGTCTTTGCTGTGGATGCCGTCCTGGGGGTAAGTCACTTAAAATAACGTGGACACTTCTACACTGTAAATAGAAGTTTCACATTATCTTAGCAAAGTCACTTTACAAATAAAACTGAATGTGAAGGCAAGGATGGGATAGACACACTATAGAGAGAAATTATTATTCAGGATTGTGGGTGTATTTTGGGTTGGAAATGTTAAATACTACACTATACACAATGCTAAATTACAAAATCTGAATTAAAAAACTAACATCAGACATGACAAAGGCTATTTTACAGATGTCACTATATGGACTGAAAAACCTAGGACCTTAGCTGGATGACTAGATAGATACAATAGATAGATAGATAGATAGATAGATTAATGAAATAGAAGGTACTTCTAGAGCAGGGGTTCTCAAACCTCTCCATGAGCTAGAGAGTAAACTTTCATGAAATGCACTTTTAAAAAGTGAACTTTGTAACAAAAATTGCACTTTTAGATTTTAAATGGACTAAACTTCAGCATCATTACAAATGTGTCATTTCAAATATATTTAAATATATGACATACAAATTTCAATAGAAATTACATTAATGTATATTTGAATTTTCCATGAATGTTTTTTCACCATATTTATATATTTTTCGCATTTTTTAGCCATATTTCAAAGACAATAGGATTAATTATGAAATTGCATATAAAGATGTATTAAGTTCTATGTGGGTCAAAAAAGATAACAGATAAAACATTTTCATTAGGGCTGGGTAAAAAATATAGATATCTCGATTTTAATCGATTTTCATTTTTACGAAACGATATCGATTCTTAAATCCCAAGAATCGATTAGTCTAGACTGTTTTCAGTTAATGGATGGAACATTGAAGCGTACCTCCCATCCAATAAATCGCAATAAGCATTTTGCATTGGTACTTTTAATATGAAACAATTTCATTTAATGTCCATTGTATTGCAGTATTCAAACAATAAATGGCGTTTTGGCGCTGTTTAATGTGGAGTGACAGATCACTGTGGTGCCTCAGTTCAACAGATGCGGCAGCGCGAGGCGCACGTGAACTGATCATCTCCTCCACATTAATACCAGTTTCAGCACAAAATAAACATGACTAAACATACGAAGGTAAGTTAAAAGAAAGAGTACAACTTTACAATCCGTATCCTGTCTCATGAAATCGCTCAATCAGTGTTTCAGCTGCGCAAAGACGTCAATATAACAGCTTGTAAACAATTCATGTAACATCACATTTACCTCAGAAAGCATATTCTGTGACCATAAGCTCATTAGTCAGATAGAAAAATAAACTGTAGATATACAGTGGGTACGGAAAGTATTCAGACCCCCTTAAATTTTTCACTCTTTGTTATATTGCAGCCATTTGCTAAAATGATTTAAGTTAATTTTTTTTCCTCATTAATGTACACACAGCACCCCATATTGACAGAAAAACACAGAATTGTTGACATTTTTGCAGATTTATTAAAAAAGAAAAACTGAAATATCTGAAATACGAAATGTGCTGTGATTGGTTAGCTGGGCCAGTGTGTATTATGATTGGCACCACTCGGTGCCTGGTCGGAAAATATCATGCCCCTTACCATTGAGGCATAGACGCCTGCGAACTTCAGTGTAAATATTGCGTCAAAATCAAATCAATTTAAACGCGATTTAAACCCGGATGATTGTAACCACTCTAAGTTCGTCTGCCTTGGGAGAGCTAGCATGTCTCAGACATAGTGATAACACTTATTGCCTTCTCTACTGCAGCTCAACCAGGTCTCGTCCCATTCATCGATATTTGTGATATCACAAATCCCGGAAAATATGCGTTGTAGTCCAAACGAGTCGTTCGTTGTAGTTTTTGTAGTTTTTGAAAAGTGATTTCTGTTAAATAAAATATCTCATTTTGAATTGGACTTTGAGCTTTGTAACATTGCAGATCTTTTTTATGCTCAAACAGCAACATTACAGACTAACTAAAGTTGAAAAAGTGAAAAAGCATAATAGGACCCCTTTAATTATTATAAAAACTTAATTAAGTGCAGTTTAAGCAGTTGTACAGCACAAATCGTCTCGGTTACATATGTAACCCTCGTTCTCTGAAGGAGGGAAAGGAGACGTCACGTCGTGACCGACAAATTGGGATCTCGTTTAGAGAGACCAATCCACTTCGAGTGTAAACTAAACGAGCCAATGCACATTGGCATGCGATAATTGCAACGCATACCAGGTTTTCGCTGAGGAGCCGAGCCGGTGACCCGGCCGCTCAGCAGTGGTACATCAGTCGTGGCGACGGGACGTGACGTCTCCGTTCCCTCCTTCAAGGAATGAGGGTTACATACGTAACCGAGACGTTCCCTTTCAGTTGGTCACCTTGAGTCACATCGTAACCGACGAATTGGGATCCCAACCAAAGCGCCATGGATGCTGCCCCTTCCAGTGTCCTGTGCGAGCCGCCTGCGCCCCTTTTTGGTGTAGGCCGGGGCTCGCAACAAGAAGACCAGTCACTGTTGTCGTAGCACTACCCACTCAGTAAGATTGGATAACACTGGGAAAACGTATCCTTTCCACTTGGAACTGGAATCCCCATCCTTCCCGAAGGAGGTTTCGGAAGCACTTACACATACGAACATCCGTTTAGGTGCATATGGAAGATTAGAGGTGATTGTAACCCTCTTGGAAATGGCAGAAGTCTGCCGGGGAAACACGGGCTCTGAGGCTATAACGTGGACTTAACACATATGGGAACCACTTAGGCCTCTACATATGGAACCCAGCCCTCTACCGGTTCTCAAGGATTCATCAAGTGAAGGCCTGGCGCCGGACGTTGGGATGGAGGAGCTCGACAGGGTCTACACTCTGGAGCAGTTTTAGCAAGCCGACGCTAAACCGGGGCCTCTCAATGCCTCTACCCGTTTGATGTGAGAACACAGGAGGATACAGGCTCCACACGAAGGCTATAGAATCTAGCAAACGTGTTGGGGGTCGCCCAGCCCGCAGCTCTACAAATATCTGTCAGCGAGGCGCCACGAGCCAGCACCCAGCAGGATGCAACACTCTTAGTAGAGTGAGCTCACAACCTGAGCGGGCAGGGCACACCCTGTGCCTGATAAGCCAGGGTGATGGCATCCACAATCCAGTGGGAAAGCCTCTGCTTAGAGATGACCTTCTCCTTCTGCCGGCCTCCGTAACAGACAAAGAGCTGGTCTGAGGTCCTAAAGCTTTGTGTCCGGTCTACGTAGCATCTTAAGGCTCGGACGGTACAAAGAAAAGCTAGGGCTGGGTCTACCTCCTCCAGGGGCAGCGCTTGCAGGCTCACCACCTGATCCCTGAAGGCAGTAGTGGGAGCCTTGGGCACATAGCCGGGCCGGGGCCTAATCCCAGGATTACCTGGGAGTCAGCCGGCCCAAACTCTAGGCACGAACCGTCGACCGAAAATGCGTGTAGGTCCCCTACCCTCTTGATGGAGGCCAGCGCAAGCAGGAGCAGAGTTTTCATTGAAAGAAACTTTAGCTCAACTGACTGCAAAGGCTCAAATGGGCCCTGCTGTAGTGCTCTGAGCATCAGAGACAGGTCCCAAGAGGGTATGGAGGGGGGCCGGGGAGGATGTAACCTTCTCAACCCCCTAAGGAACCTGATGACCAGGTCATGCTTCCCTACCGACTGCCCTTCCATGGGGTCATGGTTAGCAGCAATCGCAGCGACATAGATTTTAAGGCTGGAGGGAGACAGCCTTCGCTCCAACCCTTGCTGCAAAAAGGAAAGCACGACCCTGATTGGGCATTTCCGGGGATCTTCTTGGTGAGAAGAACACCACTCGATGAACAGGTTCCACTTCAAGGCGTAAGCGTGTTTTGTAGACGGTGCTCTCGCCGAAGTCATGGTGTCAGCTACCTCTTGGGGTAGGTCACCAAGGACCTCCGCGTCCCGACCAGGGACCAGACATGAAGTTTCCGGAGGTCTGGACGCGGGTGCCACAGGGTGCCCCGTCTCTGAGTCAGTAGATCCTTCCTCAGAGGAATCTGCCAGGGAGGGGCTGTCGCGAGGAGCATTAGTTCGGGGAACCAGGTGCGAGTGGGCCAATACAGCGCCACAAACAGGACCTGCTGCTTGTCCTCCCTGACCTCGTCCTCCCTCGCACACAGCTAACAACTCCAGGCAATTGATATGCCAGTGCAGTTGGGGGCCCGTCCACACCCCCGACACTGCGTGCCCGTTGTACGTGGCCCCCCAGCCAGTGGTGGAGGCATCCGTGTAAACCACAGCAAGCCCTTGTTTGTAGCTGGTGTGTGGTGAGCGCACTGGCGCCACTGTCCTGTGGCTGCAGCAGCCCCAGCGGCGTAACTGCCGCTGCAGCTGCCATATGCCCAGAAACCTCTGAAATAGTTTCAGAGGGGACGTTCCTCTGTGAGGCGTGCTGTGTGTTCGACTGAATCCAACTCCATACCGAGAAAAAAGATCCTCTGCGTTGGGGGGAGAGTTTGCTCTTTTCCCAGTTGACCCGAAGACCCAACTGGCTGAGGTGCCAGAGCACCAGGTCCCTGTGCTCGCACAACTGATCCCGAGACTGTGCCAGTATAAGCCAATCATCGAGATAGTCGAGGATGCAAACACCCTGCTCTCTGAGGGGAACAAGAGCCCCCTCCGCGACTTTCGTGAAGACACGGGGAGACAGAGACAGCCCGAAGGGAAGGTCCTTGTACTGGTATGCACGTCCCTCAACGCGAACCGAAGAAATGGTCTGTGGCGTGGAAGGATTGACACATGAAAGTACGCGTCCTTCAGGTCAATCGCTGCAGACCAATCTCGGAGACGGATGCACCTGAAGATGCGTTTCTGCGTCAACATATTGAATGGTAACTGGTGAAGGGCCTGGTTCAAGACACGCAGGTCCAAGATTGATCATAACCCACTGCCTTTCTTGGGTACAATGAAGTAGGGGCTGTAAAACTCCGTATTCGTATTGGCAGGAGGGACCGGCTCTTATCGCATCCTTCGCCAGTAGGACTGCGATCTCCGCACACTAGACAGGAGCATCCACTGAACTTGGGGGGACACCTGGCGAACTGAATCGCATAGCCGAGGCTGATGGTCCGCAGAAGCCAGCGAGACGGTCTGGGTAGCGCTAGCCAGGCACCCAGATACCGTGCAAGCGGGACCAACGGAACCACCACCACACCTGCTGTGGGGCAGCGAGGTGGAATGCAGGGACCCAACTCGGGCGGCTTGTGAGCATACCGAAGAGGGGTCTGAGTGTGAGGTGCAACGCTTACCTGCTTCCACAGTTTGGCAGAGGGTGCGTGAGTAGGGCCTTTGTTGATGCATCCCCCAAAGAGCAGCTTCCGTCCCGGGGCCTCTTGCTCTTCCGCTCACCGCCAGTTTGACGGGGGCCTGGACGGGTGCGGCGGCCTGCCCACGCCCAGCTCCACGGCGCCGCTTGCTCGAGGCTGCTGCGGATGCGGCACGGGAGTGGGGGCGGACACGGGGCCTCCCTCGGCGACGAGCAGGCTGGGGTGCTGTGGCCGGTAGACGGGTGGAGGAAGCAGCAGCCCGCCGGGGAAGGATGTGACGAATCGCCTCATTCTGCTTCTGTGCAGCCGAGATCTGCTGGGCTAAGCTCTCGACCGCGTCGCCGAAGAGGCTGGTCTGGGACACAGGGGCATTAAGGAACTGAATTTTGTCGGCGTCCCTCATGTCGATCAGACACAGCCAGAGATGGCGCTCCTGAACCACAAGTGTGGACATCGCACGACCCAGAGATCTCGCAGTAGCCTTCGTCGCTCGGAGCGCGAGGTCAGTAGCGGTTCGGAGCTCTTTCAGAACTTCCGGATCGTGACCACCCTCGTGCAGGTCCTTCAGTGCCTTGGCCTGATGAACCTGCAGTAACGTCATAGCGTGTAAGGCGGAGGCAGCTTCTCCACAAACCGTATAAGCACCGCCGGTCAGACAATGCCTACAGGCCTGGTAGGGGAGCGACGTGTTACCCTGCCAGAAGGAGGCGGTCTTAGGACACAACTGCATCACTACCGACCACTCCACCGTGGGGATCGCCGTATACCCCCTTGCTGCACCCCCGTCGAGGGTGGTGAGGGAGGAGAAACCAGCAGGTCGGTTTCCGGCAGTAAAAGGTGCCGTCCATGACCTGGTGAGCTCCTCATGCACCTCCGGGAAGAAAGGCACCGAGGCGGGGTGCTGAGAACCAGTGCGAGCCACCCCGAGAAACCAATCGTCCAACCTCGAGGGCTCGGGACGCGGTGGAGGTTTCCCCCGGGAAAGCATAGCCAACATGTCCGGATCCGATTCAGGCCTTGCCACCATCCCGGAGGTCGGCAGCACAGCCGAATCTTCCCCTCCAGAGAGCTGTCCCTCCGATGCAGTGATCGACATTCGGTTGTCAGGAGGAGCACCGAAGGATACCACTGGTACACTCTTTGAAGCGGGCCCAGCGCGTTCCTTTAGCGACTCGACTGGTTGCGAAGTGCTAGAGGAGTGATGGTCCCACGAGGGTTGGTTCCCTGAGGGGTTTGCCACCACTGTAACCCTCAGACCGCCCGTGCTACTGCCCGAAGTAG